GCGCACACTGCCCGTTCTGCATTGCGGTCATCGGAAGCCCGCCCCTCAGCGGGGCAGGCTTTCGATGATCGCAAGTACGATCTGCCTGTCCAAGATGGGCAGATCGTACGAGGTTTTAATAAGCTTACGACCATCGCAAGACAAAAGTCTTGCGATGGTCGTAAGGTGCATGGGCACCTTAACACAGATTACAACTCTTGGGAGCAATAAGATTTAAATACTTGCTTACAGTCATCTCATTGCCATGACATTTGATACTAATGCTGACTGTTACCAAGCAGTTAAATCTGCCAGCTGCGAAGAGACCTAAACACCTGTATAGCTCTAGTCTAAAGGTGCCCATACACTGCACGATTTCTCATACGAGAATCGTGGGAAATCCCGCAATCGTACGATAATCGTGCAGTGTATGGAAGGCGTGCGACCGTTTCTACTGTACGGTCGAACGTCTTGCGTCGAACCAGCATGCTAGAAAACCCGCCGAGAATCGTACGATTTTCGGCGAGTTAGTGGCCTGCATGTTCGACAACTGCCGAACGGGCCGGTGTGCGCACGCTGCCCGTTTGCAGTCATCGTAAGCCCGCCCCTCATTACAGTCATCGGAAGCCCGCCCCTCGGGGGCGGTTTTGCAATGATCGCAAGTACGATCTGCCTGTCCAAGATGGGCAGATCGTACGTTTTTTAAAGTACTTTACAACCCTCGCAAGACAGAAGTCGTGCAAGGGTTGTAAAGTGTATGGCCACCTTTAGCTGGCCACACATGGTTAAATTTTTAAAGTTGATCTGTCACATTAGTGAAAGATACCAACTATTTAATTGGTAATAAACTGCTGTCAGTTGATCTGACAGATCAAAACCTAAATGAAATTTGACTGTGTAGAAAACCAAGCATGCAGAAAAAACCATGCCTGTCTGAATGAACTGGATGCCAGGAGAATCCTAAATCGTGCTGTAACTAAGCTCTGTGTACAATTGATACTTTACTTTGTAAGACTGATCTACAAGAGCTGTAAACCTTCCAGATAACATTTGTAATTAATGTTATATAAAGGAGAGTATTGCGGGGTGGAGGGGATGGCAGAGCTAAAGTGTTGCAAGGAAATCTTATTACTGGAGTCTCTGAGAAGTGATAAAATGTTGCTGGTAATTTCCCCCACCAGTGTCCACCTGTGACTGCAATATTGGCTTTGGTTGGACTTTTTGTAAAGTCTTTCATTCATGTGGAGAAGATCCTGGAAAGAAAATGGGAATATGTTGATAGGTAATGTCAGCACAATGCGAGACATCTGCTCTGCCTCGTTTAGTTACTTATGAAGGTGCAGTTGTGAGGCCTTTTGAAGTCTAGTTGCTCTTTTGTTGAAGCCTACGTTCACCCACATTTCTTGTAACGCTGCTTTCGATTCTTCTGTAGGTTTAAAGAGTTTTTCTACATAGAATGGGATTGGGGACCGGACGTAGAGGAATGAAGTCCCCACCTCTTCTCATCGCTGTGCTCCTAGCCTGTGTTTTCGTTCTCGGAATAAATTACTGGATTACAAGCTCAAGATGTGTGGAGCTCCAGGTAAGACATTTTTAAATTCTGTTCGTGATTCTTAAAGACCTGTATCCATTCGCAGCTTGGGCTGCCGGTCACTGATTTGTAGAGAAGCAAGACCAGAAAGTTCAGCTATACCCTTTTGGTGGCAACCTTTTAATGATGGCTCAATTGTACAATGATTGATCACAGCACCATCATTACTCCGTTTTTATTGCAGCTATGGAAATTGTTCCCAAACAGCCAGGCTGCTCTGGGTGCATTCTGGTAACTGGTTCATGTGTACAACTTCTAGGACCTAAAGGTGCCCATACACCTTACAATTATCTGCAGATTTTCTGTGGTCAGATGGAAAAAGTGCAACAGATTGGCCCAGGTGGAGATTTCTCCATCCACACAGTTAAGCGTAGATGGAGGAATCTGTTGCACCTTTTCCATCTGACCACAGAAAATCTGCAGATAATTGTAAGGTGTATGGCCAGCTTAACCTATTACACAGGTGCAGAAAAATTACTGAAACGGAAAATGAGCTCAGGCTGCTGTGTACATATATATTCGTAGTGGGTTGTGGTTGGAATTAAAGGTTCTCTTTAAGAAGATCTGACCTGAGGCATCTTGCACCTGACAGGTGCTTTGAAATGTAGGCACTTATGTTTCAGTGCATGAATAGGAACCTTGGAGCATAATGGCTGGCTTGTGTGCAGCTAAGCTTATTTGGAAAGATGTCTGTCTGCCAAGAATGACCTCAGCTATTCTGCTGAGCTACTCAGTTGGTACTACACCCATTAGAACCATGTACAAAACGTTCAGCGGTATCGTTCCGAGTAATTAGGGGTTTTGTTCAACTAAATTCTTCTATAGAAAAGGGCTAGGTAAAAACCTGAATCCATTCTTCACAACGTGTCGCTAAAGAAAGCTGAAATCTCAGCTTTCTTTTACATATTCCAAAATATCAGCTTACCACTATTTGCGTACAGTATAAGGTGGCATTGGAATGTAATCCCATTAAGGTTTTAGCTACTGTCGTAATTTGTACTCATGGATGTTCTGCTCATTGGCAAAGAGAAACCACTTTAAAATACACCGGCCATTGTTGACCTTCTTCCTCCTTTTCTTTTTTTGACGTGTATACTGGCTCTCCCAGACTTTTTCAATTGCTATCATTTTTTAATTAATTTTCCAAGAGATTTAATAGTCTATCCCAGGCAGGGGCATAAGAATAACACACATAGCAGAGCATGTTCCAACATAAGCAATCCAACTAGAATGAAAGGAGGGATCATCCTCACAGAGGGCAGGGAAACTGTAAGATGGCACGCACTTCCATTGTACAATATGCCAATGTACATAGCTGCATAGGGCAAAAAAAGGGCCCAAAATAAGAGATAAAGAATATAAGACTAGGGGGACAAGGGCAGAAGAGCAAAGATCCGAATGGCAGGAAGTGAAGCAGACAACTAAAGAATAGGGAAGAAAGGAGGGGGTGCTCAAACAAGCCGGAGGGGCAGAAGAATTGAGATTCCTCCTCCCCTGGTTTAAGATCCAATTGCAAAAAATGATCATAGAAAGCCCAAACTAGAGAGGTTCAAAGAAGAAAAAGCATAGGAAAGCCAGGGTTCCCAATAAATCACACTTTTTGTCTACAACCTCTAAAGCATCTATCTTCAGGGACGGAACTACCGCCGATGTAGCCGGGCGCACCGGGGCCTGAGGTGGGGTCCAGTCCTGCAATATGGGGCAGTTCCCTGGTCCCGATGTTAGAACAACAGGGCCCCACACTGCTGACGGGCTTCTCAGTAAGGGGGCGGGTCCTGTGACTCCCCTCCCGGCCGTGTCCCTAGTAAGACGGCGGGAGAGGAGACGGGTCCCCTGCAGTGCACACATCGACACCCCCTGGCTGCTGCGATCCTCTGGCTGGGTGGGTCCGAGCGGCAGGGGGGTGGTCTGGGTTTAGGGGGAGAGTTGTGTACTGCTATTTCATGTAATTAGACAAGTGGTTTATAATGGGTAATATTACACTATAATGTCCCCTTTTTATAATCTATTTTTCTGATTAAATCATTACAAACAGGGCCTCTGTTCTATCAAAGTTTGAGACTACGTTAGAATGTGTGACCGGTGACGTGGTCACACATTTTAACGTAATCTCGCCCAGTTTTTCGGCGGTGGAATGGGTGAAGCATTCCAAATATATGAGTCTTGTGCCTTCCTCTGAATCAGACCCATAATATTGCATATACAGGTTGAATTGATAAACCTGTGACCTTCTTTTTTTATTTTATTTCAGTTTCATCTATGTAACTATATGCTTTCTTACCTAAAATCTTGGGGTGCTTTGGGTATTTCTTCCACATCTGTGCAGTAATTCAGTGTGAAACTTTACCTGGGTGCAGCAACTTCCTGCAATAAAGACCAGTCACTCCTTTTCTCTCCTTGTGCAGGGTGACTGGTCTTGTATCCGCCCCTTCCTGTAGTTTTCTAGAGGCAGCCTGTAGTAGAACCAGCTAGGCCCCGCCAACAGCTCTGCTCTATACACAGGCTATGTACAGCACATTGATGATGTTGCTCCTCTTTGTATGGTACCTGTATGCACCAACACCTTTGAAAACCCAAAGTAGATTTATATTCTCTGGCTATTGAGGAGTTTGTTTGTTTACATGAGAGTTTTTGTGCCTGGATTTCAGCTTTAACCCTTTCGCTGCCTACCCATCCAGACCATTTTGCACCTCAGCTGGCCACACCATTTTTGCAATTTTTTTTCAATTGCTGCGTTGCTAGTGTTTTGTAAAAGACCCCCCAAACCATATATTTTCTGAAAGCACAGGCCTTGTAGAATACAAAGATGGTGCTACTAAATTTGTAGGCCGTGCGATAATTGCACAAATGTGTCTCAAATTCATATTAAACCGATTAAAAATACACAATTCAATTGATAAAGCCCTAAAATCAGTATCTGTGTGTGTACAAAAATTGTTTTCTGACAATCTTTAAAGATAAAACTGTATTGAGTCAATAAGTAACCAATATTTGCAAATTTAAAAAAATGTAAAATAATGAAGGAACGCAAAACTGTGTGTGTGTATAAGCAACGTATGTTAAATTGTTTTTGCGCTGTGCTTGTGTTGTGATAAAATGATACAGGCGTACATTTAATTGCAACACAAGGTATCACAACGCATGGCAATGAGTCACAAAGCTTTGTCATGCGCTGCCGCAGTTAAATTAATTTTCGTTAATAGCTGTCATCAGCGGCTTGTGAGCCGCTGATGACCGCTATTAATTTAAAGGGGACAGTCCAGGGAACAGTTCTGCTATAAGTTCATGGTCGCTAAAGCGACCATGAGCTTATAGCAGAACTGTAAATGCCACCGCCGTAAGGCATACCGATCTGGCGTTTAAGGAACAGTTTTGTTCCGCCGTATGCCTTATGGCAGTGGCAGGCAAAAGGATTAAAAGCAAAGGTCCCCAAATGCTCAGCCTTAGGACATGACTGGGATAAATACTTGGAATACTAATTTCACATCACACCAATATCCATGAGCCCACATGGCAGCCCCATCCACAAGGGTATCCTCATGATGCTTGTAATCTCAGTACAATAGGGTTAGGAGGGCCCTGCTCGTGGGAAGTTACAATCTAGTAGGAGGAAATAAAAATCTGCCCGATTATTTATTACCTACCTATTCGGATGTGATGAAATCGGCGTTGCTCTCAGCATCATCCAGGACCACCTACTGAAGACTAAAGAGTTAAAAAAAAATAAAAAGGAATAACATAATGTTGGGAGAAGGGAGGCTTACGGGGAGGGAAGGTGGTCCTCAAGGTGTGGAGGCAGGAGCACAGGGTTTGGTCTTTAACACTTATGTTACAGTTGGGCTTTAACACTTGGGTGCGATTTTAGTGATTGGGTTTACATATACATGTTGTATGTTTGTTTTTATTATGGATACCATATTAATTTAAAGGGGACAGTCCAGGGAACAGTTCTGCTATAAGTTCATGGTCGCTAAAGCGACCATGAGCTTATAGCAGAACTGTAAATGCCACCGCCGTAAGGCATACCGATCTGGCGTTTAAGGAACAGTTTTGTTCCGCCGTATGCCTTATGGCAGTGGCAGGCAAAAGGATTAAAAGCAAAGGTCCCCAAATGCTCAGCCTTAGGACATGACTGGGATAAATACTTGGAATACTAATTTCACATCACACCAATATCCATGAGCCCACATGGCAGCCCCATCCACAAGGGTATCCTCATGATGCTTGTAATCTCAGTACAATAGGGTTAGGAGGGCCCTGCTCGTGGGAAGTTACAATCTAGTAGGAGGAAATAAAAATCTGCCCGATTATTTATTACCTACCTATTCGGATGTGATGAAATCGGCGTTGCTCTCAGCATCATCCAGGACCACCTACTGAAGACTAAAGAGTTAAAAAAAAATAAAAAGGAATAACATAATGTTGGGAGAAGGGAGGCTTACGGGGAGGGAAGGTGGTCCTCAAGGTGTGGAGGCAGGAGCACAGGGTTTGGTCTTTAACACTTATGTTACAGTTGGGCTTTAACACTTGGGTGCGATTTTAGTGATTGGGTTTACATATACATGTTGTATGTTTGTTTTTATTATGGATACCCTATAGGGATATTTTTATATGGTTTTGTACTCGTTGTACATTTTCCCTACTCATTATTGTTAGACTGGTCACATTTTATTCATAGAAAATCTATACTGACTTTACCACTAATATGACTGACGCTTGTTTATCGTATATTGAATAACTCTTCTAATTGTGTATTCTGTATTTTTAAGAATCGCGTGATGGAACTGGAGGGCAGAATGCGACGAGCAGCAGCAGAACGAGGAGCAGTAGAAATAAAAAAGAATGAGTATGAAGACATGTTGGGGAAACAGAAAAAACAGATTGACACCATTCAGTCTTTGCACAGTTCTCAGATGCAGACTGTGCATTCCCAATGTAACAGTGAGAAGGTGAGACATTCTGCTCCATCTCTATTCTGTCTAATAAACCTACTGGTATCATTGGAAGCCATACAGTATGTGCAATAGATATGTGTATTTTATTGGGGTTTTTGAAAGCTGCATATTTTCCCTGGACTATTGCTGGATTCTACTATTGCCGTATGTTCAATCGACTTTAACCTTTAACGTAATGAAGGATTAACATCTTTCAAATTTCCTCCAAACGTTCTTAAAGGTGAAACCTGAACAACTTCAAGCCAGCAGCACTGTGGGAAAAGCCACATCACTATGTCTGTATTTAAACTGGAACACACCTAGTTAATTCTAGATTATTTTAAAGGTGTAAGAATGTGGACTGTCCTGTCGGAGTAGAAATGGATAAGAGTTCTTGAACTAATTCTGAAAAGTTGCTCTTTAGCTTTCAAACCTTCAAGTTAGACTGTGCCTTGCTGTCACCACTGCGATGGGTTCTACAGGCCGATATGTCCCTGAAAATATTGCCCCAAGTTAGTGTACGTTCTTGCTAGAGACGTTACACTGTTGTGTGTTTTGTAGCATGCATTGATGGTTCTTTGTACTCTCTTCTGAGCTGTACAATATGTTTTGTGTAAATATAAAAAATAAACAATCTATCCAAAATAATACCCGTCCAGACTAGCCTGTTTAAATACAGGACATTCAGTGCCCTGTAAATGAAAAGTTTTAAGGAGAACTATGGGGTCAGGGCTTTTCCCCATAGTTCTCCTCCTTAGGGTAACGGGAGGACACAAACTAGCATCATCCCGTCACCCTAAGCTCAGTATACCGCAAGCTACAGCTCGCGGTATACTGAGATGCCGCAGCCAGGACGGATCCCGGCATTACTGTCGAGATCCGCCCAGCTGCGTGAGTGACAGCTGGCTCTGTCTATCTAGAGGCAGAGCCAGCTGTGCCCGCCCCGTCCGTTCCACCTGTCAGCGCTGGAGGATCGGACAGGGGAGGGGGGGAAATCCCTGCAGGGAGCCGTGAGTGACAGTCACGGCTCTCTGGAGGGATAGATCGAGAATTGAGCGACGCTATGTGTTCGCTCACTTCCCGATCTATTGAGCCGACCTGTGACAGTTTTCATTGTCACAGGTCGGCTAGAACTATGAGGTGAGTGTTTTTTTTTTTTGTTTTTTTTTCACTCGCCTCATAGTTCTCGCAAGATCTAGCCAGCCACTTGTTTACAGCGTGCTTGTTCCAGGTCTGTGACTCAAAAAGCCAGACTCAGACAGTCAGCTAGCATTTTCAGTAGAATACCAGAAATGACAGTCCCCATGTTTCTCTGATGACTGATTCCCTTTAAATGCTTGCTGACCAGGTGTTTACACCAGCTTCCTGTCCAGGCCATTTTTTCAGTATTCAGCTCTGCAGTACTTTGACATTTATTCCGTCATGGAATACCGTACTGTAATGAATCTAATACCATTTTTTTGGGGGACAGATAGAGCTTTCTTTTAGTGGCATTTAATCACCAGTGGGGTTTTTATTTTTTACTATACTAAAGGAAAAATTACAGAAAATTTTGGGGAAAAGTTTTTCTTTTACATTGTTAGGAAACCATTATTATTACCCCCGCATAGACCGGCACCTTTATACAAGCGATTGCTTGAATGTAGAGCGGCATCGCTGCCTGGTTTTACATTTGTGCAGTTTCGCGTGGGCGGGGCAAACAGGCCGTCTTTAGATGGCCATTCGTATCCAGGAAGCTCCCGGCCGGCCTTTTGTTTTGTTTTTTATTTTATAATGGCTGGGAGGTTAAAGGAAGATGGTTAATTTTTAAAGTTTCTATGAGCTAGCTGGTAGCTGTTTGTAACCCAGGCAACACTTCCTTCATATAGGTTTAAAGCAGAACTCCTAGCAAAAAATGTTCTTAACCCTTGCAGTTACACTCCTGCTTCTCCTCCCTTTTCCAAGCTAGTAGATGAACAGTTGTTGGAGTCTGCTCTTTCTTTTGTGATCTAGTACTGGACAGGAAGTTCAGGTTAGCGTAGCCAAGAGTTGGCTTTGGCTGTTTCGAAACTACTAGAAGTGCTTGGGCAAAAATGTAAAGAAATGCTTTGCTGGGCAATGTATATTTGTTTTATTGCAAAAAAAAAAAAAAGCAAAGTGTTTACTAAATACAGAACACAAAATATTGTGCTCATTTTATCATTTTATCTTCCGATTTGTGGTTTACAACTGTATACATGGAATTACATTCTCGTTCCACACATTTTGGGTATCTAGTCTTTGTCTATGTATTAGGCCTTTGCTGCCACCTACATAAGGCTTACGTCAGTGGCAGCCTGGGCTATTAAACACACTCCTGGCTGAAAATATGCTGAATCAAACCAGAAGGGACAAGGACTTTGTCTCTTCTGGTTTCTGAGCTGTCATTCCCTGGCCACTATGATCATGAGGGGGAAAAAAAAGCTTGATCAGCTTCATTGGGTTACATAGGTGACATTAGGGGTTTTTTTTCTCCTTTAAAGAGAACCTGTTGTA